ATTAGAGTACACAATATTTTGGGGAACACAATACCACCACAGTGGCTGCAAGCCTTGCTTATTTTATTCAGCTGTGTGTGACAAGCCCATTCCTGGGGCTGGTCTAAGCCTTGCCTAGCCAATATGCCACTAGGATGTGGTGAATGTTACCCTTTTGTAACTCCTCCTCAATGTGATAGGAGAGACGGAGAAGGAGAAGCTGGGCTTCTGAGCCACACTATGGAGCTGAGATGTCACCTCCATGCTCTCTCCCCTGGCTGTGTATCTCTTCATGTACAGTACTTGAAATTATAGATCTGTCCAAAGAGCCTGCATTCATCAGGTGATGGTGGACTTTCCTTCCTCTTCCTTCAGTTGCTCAGAAAGCCCTTTCCAGCTCAAAGCAAACATGCTCAGGCTGGTGTTCTGGTCTGTTCAGTATTGGGTGTGTGAGTCCAGGTTGTCTAGGGCTGGAGTGGGGGACAAAAATATGGGGATGAAAACTGGAAAGACAGAGGATGCCATCTGGGAAGTTTGGGCCGCTCTAGCAGTCTCTGTTGGTACAGTGTCAAGGGGAAGGGGATCCTGGGATCAGAGTGTGTGTCTGGACAGAAGTGACCCCAGAAGACACATGCACACACCCCACTAACCCTTGCTTTCCCTCGTCCTCCTCTAGAGTTTGCCCTGAAGCCCAGCATCAGGAAACTTCAAGGGGACCTCAGTGCCTCCCCAGGAAGAAAGACAACAGCTGGAAGAGGTAGGATTTCATGATGTAGTGATGGTGGCCTTGTTTAATCAAGATGGCCAGACTTCTCATCTGTCTCCTGCCCTCCAAAACCACCTTTCTGGGGGACAGTCTTGGGGCTCATGCCCTAGGGGTATGGGGCAGGGGAGAGCAGCTTTACACCAGTCTCCATGCCCTGATGTTAATTCAGGGATGGCACAAGCAACTGGGGGTCCATCCAAGAAGTGGGAACTAGCTCTCTGAGGACACAACTCCCATGATCCCTTTCTGGTCACCCTCAGCATCCACCCCAGTCTCAGGACTGTGAGGAGGAAGCAGCTCCCTAGAGTGCTCACCACCCTGAGGGTGACATTTAACATCATAGGACAAGCATGCATCCCCTTGTCCATGATAATACTGAGCATAACAAGACTGAGTTCTGCCTCTGGGGCTCCAGGACCCCAGAAATGCTGAGTGGCCTCATGGAAGGTTCCTGAATGAAGAGTTCAGGCCTACTGTCTTCTGGCCGGCTGCAACCACCAGTGCGTATGATCTTGGCACTGTTTCTACCTCCATTTTAAAAGAGTAGAGAAAACCTGGGGTCAGAGAGGCAAAGAGACTTTCTCAAGGTCACATAGCACTGAGTGACAGGGCAGGATTTGAACCCCTGACTAAATGGCACCATGGTTCTGGGTCCTTTACTCATTCTGTGACTTGAGGTTCCAGGCAAAGCCAAACCTATTAACTAAATTTCTTGTGTGAAATTCTGGTTCCTGAAGAAGCATGAAAGTGTTTGTTTGTTTGTTTGTTTGTTTGTTTTTCTTTGTCCTGGGGGCTCCATGTTTTTATACTGGACTTTTTGTAAAATCCTCATGAGTCTTAGTTTTCTGTCCTTGAAACTCTTAAAATAACATCTCTTCACGCTATCCTGGGGGAGAGACAGGGAAGATTCTAGAAGTACCCCACCCAGTTTCTTGCGTGGGCCCCTCTGTTGCTTTCCCATGCCCAGGGCTGTTGTCATTGCACACAGATTTGCTGTACAGTAGGCTGGTGGTATTTCCCATTTAGATGCCCTGCTGTCTGTGGCTGGCCAGCACTCAGCCACCTTCCTCATCGCTGGCTCAATTCCTCAGCTGTTTTGTGCTAGGCAGCTGGCTGCCTGGGTGTGACTTTGGCTTCATTCTAAGGCTGGGTGGCTAGCAGAGCTGGGATTGGCTGAGGTTCTAGTGGACGATGGCCTTTTGGGCACCTGGAGTTCTCCCGCTCTGCAACCTCCAGCAGTGGCCTCAGCCTCAATCCCCACAGACATATACAGAGCCCGGAGCTGCCCCGTTTCCTTTATGAGAGGGCTCAAGCTACTGGGAGAGAGCTTGCTTCCCCAGGACCATCCTTCAGGGCAGCAGGAGTCGTCACTGGGTCACCCTCAGGAGGGAGTCAGGAAGCCTGAAGGTTGAGCCTGGGCCCTCCTCCCAACAGATAAAGGCCAGTCACAGGAAACAACATCAAGTGGCCTCCAAGCAACAAGCAGAGTCCAGGGTCTGCATGGTGCTGCCCAGTGCTGGGGCCTAGCTATACCTAGAGAGTGACTGACAGCTCCTCTCGGAAAAAGGCAAATAGTGTGTACCTCTTTGGGTCAAGTCACACATGCTTCCTAGGTTATCCCATTCTGCCCTCTCAGCCTCTCAACCACTCTGTAATCTCAGCACTATTATCAGGTGTGGTGAGGGAAGGTGATGGCCAGTAGGAGTCACCTGCTCCATTTGCTTACAACAATGGCAGCCCTCTTGGGGTCCTGTGGCCTCTTAGAGGACCTTCCTAAAAATACCCAGGCCTCCTGATGGAAGAGTGGATGTTTATCAACGAACAGTGATGTTACCCAGGAGACACATACCTTTTCCTGTGCCTGGTCTAAAAACGGCTGGGAGAGGGGTCTGGCTTGTGTCAGTGAGCACTCCGTTCTGATGTACTGGGGCGTGAGGCCATCCGGGGTGGGAGCTGCTTTCCCCAGCTTCTACTCCATTCTGACATGTCACTCCCGGTCACCCTTCAGCAGGTAACTGTTGGTTGTGCCAATACTCAAAAGCCAGCTTCCTTAGTTTCCTATGGGGGGGGGGGCACTGGAGTGACAGAGAAGTTGGTGACCCGCTCCAGGGCTCATGTCTACCAAGAGGTTAGGGAAGAATTCAGCACAGGCCTCCCGCCCCTGAAACCATTTGCTGAACACCCAAAGGGCACATCTTCCATGCACGGTGATGCCCTTCCCTAATTCTCTACCCAGCTTTGTACAATGTGCATGGGACGGGACAAAAGAAGTTCCCAGTCAGTCACCTTTCATCTCAGCAGCACTCAGAAAGAGTGAGGCAAGAAGATCAAGAGGGATCAGACTTGGCTATACAATGAGACCTTGGATATGGAGATATGGAGGGAGAGGGAGA